ACCACGAAATTTTCGATCTTTCAACTCTGTCTTTTTCTCACTAAAATTATATTCTAATAAGAGCCCCCTATTTTTAATTTTTAGAGCGCCCTGGGTGCTTATTACGTTGAATACAGTACTACGATTTTACTTAATTTGAATTTTTTTTATGACTTTACAAGATACTTAGTGGAAAAAGTACTTGTATTGTTCTCCCTATGGAAATTACACGTCAGGGGTCCTTTCCACAAACTGATTGTGGTGCTGAGGTGATTGTAACTCTGATACTTTAACATAGACTTATGATTACTTTGTGCAACTTGGCCCAGAATTTTTTCTAAAGATTGTCCAAAGAGATGCTTAATATGGGGATTGGGTGGTTCGGCCATACAAATTAGCACTTAGTGTGTCATCATATTCATAACGCGTGGATCGTAGCAAATGCTTTCAGACACTGGTTTGCCAGATCCAAACTTGATTGTTTTTATTAATTTTCTGCTGGTGCAAAACAACATTCAAACTGATCATTCTCATTGGCCGTGAGTGGTCTGTTCCACTATATATATTAAAACCAGTTTTCCTACCACATGTACCATGTGTATTTTACATCAATATCACTAGAGTTGAGGAGATTGGTTGATGAGCCACTGCAGAGCTGCTGTAACCCAACACTCCTTATCACCCTGACACTATCTTCCTACAACATGTTCACTGTGGTAGAGATGTGCTCATACCTCATCCCGCTCTCCCTCAACCAGTAGAGCCAGGCACACCCTTATCAATCACTACTCCCTCACTATAACACTGGGCATCACTTTCTCAGATGGTAAACTTCAAAGTGATGACACAGAGACTAAAAATGTGGGTCAGCACTGGTCATATTTGCAGTGGACATGTAATTTGGAAGCCTACAGCTGTGAAGATCATAGTCTTTTCCTTACAATTCAGTTCATTTCGCTTTATCAACTAACAGTGAGCATTCAAAGGATCAAGGAATATTTACATGCTTCTAATCTTTTGATGAAACATATCCAATTATCAGTTCAGTGCTAGCTTTCTGAGTCTCATTGATTGTCAAATATACTACAGTAAACAACGGTTATAACAAACTTATAGGGACAACTAATTTAAGTTCGTTGTAACCGTAATTCGTTACAAGTATATATACAACATATATACACCAAATGGCCGGGACAAAAAAAAACAGTTTGTTAAAAAATTGTATCAGTCAGTTCGTAATAACCGTCTTCGTAATAAACAGAGTTTACTGTATATTACTCAAAAACAGCTAAGGACAGATTGACTATAACAATATGAGTGAGTGAGTATGGTTTTACGCCGCTTTTAGCAATATTCCAGCAATATCACGGCGGGGGGCACCAGAAATGGGCTTCACACATTGTACCCATGTCGGGAATCGAACCCGGGTCTTCGGCGTGACGAGCGAACGCTTAATCCACTAGGCTACCCGACCGCCCTATATAACAATATGAAAGAACTGGTTAGTCCTTCACTTTTTTGAGTAGTATATATGACAGATATGTAACACCAGCATGATTAGCATCATCACAATGAACTCAAACAAATGACTAAAATATCAGATTCTTTTAGTTGTCCTTTTTTAAATATATTACATCAATGCCAGAGAATAACCAGTCTTGTTTATCCGCTGAAACAGTGAGCGAGTATGGTTTTACGCCACTTTTAGCAATATCATGTCTGGAGACACCAGAAACGCTGAAACAGATTCCATTGGGCGTAAAAGGTTTGCAAACACAGTAGTGGGCAGTTTTAATGTCTTGGACTAAATCAAGAAAAATGGTCACCCTTCTAATACCAAAACAAATAGAATATCTTGAAAAATTATATGTTCTAGAAAAAGACAATATATTTCAAAGAACATGAGGAAGGTAGTGTCACCCAAATTCACAATTATTTATTCTCTGTTAGACATGTTTAAGCATGTTAAGTAATGTTTTTTTTTGGTCTGTTTAACGCCACACTTAGCAATATTCCAGCTATATGACAGTGGTCTGTAAATAATTGAGTCTGGACCAGACAATCCAGTGATTGATATCATGAACATCAATCCAGGCAATCTGGATACGATGACATGCATCAACCAAGTCAGCGAGGTGATGTAATTTTGGAGAATCACTGTCATTAATGCTCACAAATTAAAAAATAAATTCCTTGTATCATCTGACCATATGCAGACAATATTTCAACATTTATCAATCCCCAATAAAACAAGAATAACAGTTAAAGCAAGGTGCTTCATGCTTGACCTTGGACATAAGACCCTAATCCCACTTAATGAGGTTTTGCAAGGATCGATACACTATGATAATGGCCCTGCTTTAAGGATTACGCACTAAGTAATCCTTGGTACTTACTGGAAACACCCAAATTTCATAATCAGCTGTAACTTAATCTTTCCATAACACACAAAAATAGATTACATAATGCATAAAGGAACATGAGCTGGTAATATGTATCATGCTTATATATACTACTCAAAAGAAGTTAAAGAACAACCAATTCTTTCAAACTTCTTTTGAGTTGTATCTACTAATCGTTATACTGTACGCGGTATTGCACTGAAGTGAAAGGTAACTGCTGCATTTTGATCCTGATAATACAACTAAAGTGTCAGTTAACAGAGCATATATCAAACACACCAGCTGACATCGTCAATCAAAACATTTGACATTTATGTTTGAGGACATGACAGAAGTTTAGTTCCATTAATGATGCATCTTACTGCAGACAAAACCTCAGCATCAAGTGCTGCACACGTTCACTTAAAATGATATAATTTGTCCCTAGTACAGTATTTCTTCTATCGAGTGCACAGGCTCATTATTTTCAACCATTTCTCAGAAATGACATTTATTAGAGACATTACAATTATTTCTTTTGATATTATTGTGCTAATCTATAACTGCACTCAAATGAAAGTTACTGTCGTGGACAGTGAGTGAGAGAGTGAGTATGGTTTTGCGCCGCTTTTAGCAATATTCCAGCAATATCACGGCGGGGGACACCAGAAATGGGCTTCACACATTGTACCCATGTCGGGAATTGAACCCCGGGTCTTTGACGTGACGAGCGAACGCTTTAACCACTAGGCTACCCGACCGCCCCCTGTCGTGGACAGCCCCTTGCCCAGGGCTTCAGATAATAATTTTTAATATGTTTAATCATTACTCACAAGTTATCCATCAATCACACTGAGAACTGATACTCCTCTTTGGGTATTCAACATATTTAACTCCCTAGGGTCCAGTCTATTGGGTACTATTACTCCAATGTGTAGATATTAATGCACACATGCTGTTTCAGGCGACTTGTAATTTGTATCCATTCGTGCCCTGCCCCAATTTTTAAGCGTGTAACATGCCACATGAACTCACAACAGCGATAAACATGTCTCATTAACTATAAGTGAGACATAGTGCCTTATTAATGCATTATTCACTGCAGTAGGGTTCATGTAGGTGTGAAGCCTGCATTCAATCACTCAATAAAGGTCTGAACAGAAATATAAGTTAAAAAAGATACAATGGGTAAATATGCAAATTGTTGTTATATTGGGTTAAAAAAAATATATTATGCATATTTGTACGCAAGCAACTCAAAATTAATTGGGTAGTGGTGATTTATTTTGGATATTTTACACCATTATGCAGCTAACTGGGAGCTATGCTTGCTTCTATAACAAGAGTGAGTTGGTTTTAGTGCTGACGTTAAGAGTTCTAGTTACATCATGATGTGTCAGTTCAGTTCATTGTGGAAAACCAAACTGTTGCTAGTCAGACATTTACCACTTTGGTTTTGTTCGTTGTTAAAAGCCACACTCACCAATATTTTGCCTATGGTGGCCTGTAAATAGGGGCTAAGTCTGGGCTGTAGGGTGGGTGATTTAACTGTACAGCCCAGACTTAGCCCCCAGTGACTATTTCCTGTTCCGGCAAATGAAATCTGCCCAATGTGGAAGACTCATCGGGGATGCCGAGGATATAAAGGCTGTCACAGAGGCATGGTTAGAGGGCCAATCTGTGGATTTCTATAAAAGTGGTATTAAAAGCTTGAAGGACAAATGGAATAAGTGTATTGAGGTGAATGGAGATTATATTGAAAAATAAAAGTGCAAAAGATATTCTGCAACTTGGTCTTATATTGAAATTGCAAAACTTATTGAACGCCCCTCGTATGACACTAGTCTTAAGGGACCTTATTGCACTGATATTTATATCATTGCCTGTTCCCTTACCATAACACCACAATCAAATGGCATCACTTATCTCTCTGCCATTGAATCTGGTTAGCTGTACTTACACCGAAGACAATGATTATTTAATACTGTTTACAAACTGAAACAATTTGGAAGAATCATTTGGATATCAACGCGGATATCAACACAGCATACCATTATACATATTAATAGGGACTGACAGGCAGTAGGAAAACCCCAGTGAAGCTCATTGATCGATAATGTTAAAAAAATAAATTCATAGGATTCACTGAAATTACATTTTTTCAGGGGTTCCTATACACATGACGATTATATACTAGCGACTTAAAGAGTTAGTTTCTACTTATGGTAGGTGTCTTAAATATAAATGAAATGGTAACTGTAGAAGGGATTAAAGATAAATAACGACTTATACATTCAAACACTGTTGTGTCAAAGTTGAAGGGACCTACGTAAATAATTGGAGTTTGCCGAGGTTCGACACAACCGAAAATGATGAATAAAGAAATTTTACTTCAGATAACAGTTGGTTGGACACATCAAAGTTCGACACAACTATGCTTGACTGTATACATAAAAATATAAAATGTTCAATTATATTATAACATGTTGCAATGTATGTGATGAGCGAATAATTATATACATGATAAATAACATATACTGTAGGTCTATATCGTAAACACTGACACTAATCCACACATGATTAACATGGTTACAATGTACCCTTCCTGGCGCGTTATACCGAGGTACACCTGAAACCTACCATTTCTCTCCTGAGTGTTGTGAGTGATGCGTTGAGTCTGGAAAATGACGATACAGGATGAGGCGTAGAACTCGGAGACTCCACCTCACCGTTCACACCATTTGACGTGGGTGGGGTTCCGCTGTCCCCCTGGTCCGACTCACAAAGTGACTCTTGGGCCAGCTCCTCTAACAGGTTTGCCTTTAAAGTGTGCATCTTTTCCGTCTCTCGCCACTGAGAACTATCCGACCCAAGCAAGCCGCTAAAACACCGGGGTAGAGGCGGTAAACCGGGTATTTGCGACATGGTCGACTGGGGGTCGTTGTCTTCAGACATCTATGTGATTCGGTCAGCCCAATCGGCTGTCATGACACACAGTTGGCATCGAACGAATGTTCGTCAAAACTCAAAGTTTCTGAAGTTTCACTCGGCCGTCTTACGCTCGCACTGCGCCCTCTCTGCGAAGGGAAGTAACTGCTGTGGCAACTCGTTTCAGTAACGAGCAGGTGCGCGAAAGCGTAATTTGAGGCTAATGGTATAGAAGAAGGGACAAGGATCGAGCCAATTGGGAGTCATAACAAATTATTTTCCAGTCTTCAAAACCCACTATGTTGAGTCATTTTTTAATGAAATACATCAATCCAACAGTTACTGATTCCCTCATTATGCTATATCCCAATTTCACACATCATGCGTATACAATCTAATAGTAGTTCCAATAACCCACACTGGTCATGGGAACTGGGCTGTTTATATATAGTCCCTCTAAATTGGCCCTCTAAACAAAGCGCTTTAACTTCTTCTTTTTTGTATAAATAGTAAGATACTATATCGAATGTATCAATTATCTATCTTTAAAACTTCGCGTGATCAGTATCATGTACGCGATATATAATATGATATGAAGTTAAAGGTATACACGAGACCGAATACAAAATTTGTAACGCACCATAAGGCTTGAGAAACCTCCAGCTCCTGCGTGTCCACTTCAGTTTCATGATGCACGACACACCATCCGTATGTCCACTAGACTCGATCGTAAAGCATGACACTTCACCCGTGTGTCCAAGACAGACTCGTGATGCATGACACACCACCCGTACGTCCACTAGAATCGATCGTGATGCATGACACTTAACCCGTGTGTCCAAGACAGTCTCTTGGTGCATGACACATCACCCGTACGTCCACTAGACTCGATCGTAATGCATGACACAACATCCGTATGTCCACTAGACTCGATCGTAATGCATGACACACTATCCGTATGTCCACTAGACTCGATCGTAATGCATGACACACCATCCGTATGTCCACTAGACTCGATTGTAAAACATGACACAACATCCGTATGTCCACTAAACTCGATCGTAAAGCATGACACACCATCCGTATGTCAACTAGACTCGATCGTAAAGCATGACACACCATCCGTATGTCCACTAGACTCGATCGTAATGCATGACACAACATCCGTATGTCCACTAGACTCGATCGTAAAGCATGACACACCATCCGTACGTCCACTAGACTCGATCGTAAAGCATGACACACCATCCGTACGTCCACTAGAGTCGATCGTTATGCATGACCCACCATCCGTATGTCCACTAGACTCGATCGTAATGCATGACACAACATCCGTATGTCCACTAGACTCGATCGTAAAGCATGACACACCATCCGTATGTCCACTAAACTCGATCGTAAAGCATGACACACCACCCGTATGTCCACTAGACACGATCGTGATGCATGACACTTCACCCGTGTGTCCAAGACAGTCTCTTGGTGCATGACACACCATCCGTACGTCCACTAGACTCGATCGTAATGCATGACACACCATCCGTACGTCCACTAGACTCGATCGTAATGCATGACACACCATCCGTACGTCCACTAGAGTCGATCGTTATGCATGACACACCATCCGCATGTCCACTAGACTCGATCGTAAAGCATGACACACCATCCGTATGTCCACTAGACTCGATCGTAAAGCATGACACACCATCCGTATGTCCACTAGACGCGATCGTAGAGCATGACACACCATCCGTATGTCCACTAGACTCGATCGTAAAGCATGACACACCATCCGTATGTCCACAAGACTCGATCGTAAAGCATGACACACCATCCGTATTTCCACTAGACGCGATCGTAAAGCATGACACACCATCCGTATGTCCACTAGACTCGATCGTAAAGCATGACACACCATCCGTATGTCCACAAGACTCGATCGTAAAGCATGACACACCATCCGTATGTCCACTAGACTCGATCGTAAAGCATGACACACCATCCGTATGTCCAAGACAGATTCGTGGTGCATGGCACACCATCCGTACGTCCACTAGACTCGATCGTAATGCATGACACTTCACCCGTATGTCCAAGACAGATTCATGGTGCATGGCACACCATCCGTACGTCCACTAGACTCGATCGTAATGCATGACACACCATCCGTATGTCCACTAGACTCGATCGTAGAGCATGACACACCATCCGTATGTCCACTAAACTCGATCGTAAAGCATGACACACCATCCGTATGTCCACTAGACTCGATCGTAAAGCATGACACACCATCCGTATTTCCACTAGACTCGATCGTAAAGCATGACACACCATCCGTATGTCCAAGACAGATTCGTGGTGCATGGCACACCATCCGTACGTCCACTAGACTCGATCGTAATGCATGACACTTCACCCGTATGTCCAAGACAGATTCGTGGTGCATGGCACACCATCAGTACGTCCACTAGACTCGATCGTGATGCATGACACTTCACCCGTGTGTCCAAGACAGTCTCTTGGTGCATGACACACCATCCGTACGTCCACTAGACTCGATCGCAATGCATGACACAACATCCGTATGTCCACTAGACTCGATCGTAAAGCATGACACACCATCCGTACGTCCACTAGACTCGATCGTTATACATGGCCCACCATCCGTATGTCCACTAGACTCGATCGTAAAGCATGACACACCATCCGTATGTCCACTAAACTCGTTCGTAAAGCATGACACACCATCCGTATGTCCACTAGACTCGATCGTAAAGCATGACACACCATCCGTATGCCCACTAGACTCGATCGTAATGTATGACACACCATCCGTACGTCCACTAGACTCGATCGTAAAGCATGACACACCATCCGTACGTCCACTAAACTCGATCGTAAAGCATGACACACCATCTGTATGTCCACTAGACTCGATCGTAAAGCATGACACACCATCCGTATGCCCACTAGACTCGATCGTAAAGCATGACACACCATCCGTATGTCCACTAGACTCGATCGTAAAGCATGACACACCATCCGTATGTCCACTAGACTCGATCGTAGAGCGTGACACACCATCCGTATATCTACTAAACTCGATCGTAAAGCATGACACACCATCCGTATGCCCACTAGACTCGATCGTAAAGCATGACACACCATCCGTATGTCCACTAGACTCGATCGTAAAGCATGACACACCATCCGTATGTCCACTAGACTCGATCGTAGAGCGTGACACACCATCCGTATATCTACTAAACTCGATCGTAAAGCATGACACACCATCCGTATGTCCACTAAACTCGATCGTAAAGCATGACACACCATCCGTATGTCCACAAGACTCGATCGTAAAGCATGACACACCATCCGTATGACCAAGACAGATTCGTGGTGCATGGCACACCATCAGTACGTCCACTAGACTCGATCGTAATGCATGACACTTCACCCGTATGTCCAAGACAGATTCGTGGTGCATGGCACACCACCCGTACGTCCACTAGACTCGATCGTAATGCATGACACTTCACCCGTGTGTACCACACAGCCTCATGATGCATGACACCCCACCCGTGTGTACCACACAGCTTCGTGATGCATGACACCTCACCCGTGTGTACCACACAGCTTCATGATGCATGACGACCCACCCGTGTGTACCACACAGCTTCATGATGCATGACACCCCACCCGTGTGTACCACACAGCTTCATGATGCATGACACCCCACCCGTGTGTACCACACAGCTTCATGATGCATGACACCCCACCCGTGTGTACCACACAGCTTCATGATGCATGACACCCCACCCGTGTGTACCACACAGTTTCATGATGCCTGACACCCCACCCGTGAGTACCACACAGCTTCATGATGCCTGACACCCCACCCGTGTGTACCACACAGCTTCATGATGCATGACACCCACCCGTGTGTACCACACAGCTTCATGATGCATGACACCCACCCGTTTGTACCACACAGTTTCATGATGCATGACACCCCTACCGTGTGTACCACACAGCTTCATGATACCCCACCCGTGTGTACCACACAGCTTCATGATGCATGACACCCCACCCGTGTGTACCACACAGCCTCATGATGCATGACACCTTACCCGTGTGTACCACACAGCCTCGGTATGCATGACACCCCACCCGTGTGTACCACACAGCTTCATGATGCATGACACCCCACCCGTGTGTACCACACAGCCTCATGATGCATGACACCCCACCCGTGTGTACCACACAGCTTCATGATGCATGACACCCCACCCGTGTGTACCACACAGCTTCATGATGCATGACACCCCACCCGTGTGTACCACACAGCTTCATGATGCATGACACCCCACCCGTGTGTACCACACAGCTTCATGATGCATGACACCCCACCCGTGTGTACCACACAGCTTTATGAGGCATGACGCCCCACCCGTGTGTACCACACAGCTTTATGAGGCATGACGCCCCACCCCACTATTATCTCACATACAGTAACACATTCGATTCCTATTTTATTAGGTTACATACTGTAACACATCCGATTCCTGTTTCCGGTTTGAAGAATGAGGATACGATACACGATCGTGAGCATTTCAAGTCCAAGGACATTGTTTGTTTGTCATTGGGTTTCACAACACAGACCCGTCACTGTTGTCAGTATTCAGTATGACAACATCAGGCCGGCGTGGTCAATGAAGCGCTGTTTAGATTTTACCAGGGCTTCCTGTACTGACCAGAAAGGAATGTAAACCGTTCGATGCGGTGGTAAAATCTTCACCATACGCTTTGTTCAGAGAAGGTACTCCATTCTAAAACGTTAATCGCAAATTATTCCGATAAACATTATTTTTAAAGACTCTACAAGTGCGCTTTATTATTATATTATTATATAAGAACTAACAAAATAAGAAATTTCGTTGTGCTCTCATGTTGATATCATTTCATATTATTTAAAAATCCAATTTTGTTCAAACGATGTAAAGGGGCGGTCGGGTAGCCTAGTGGTTAAAGCGTTCGCTCGTCACGCCGAAGACCCGGGTTCGAATCCCGACATGGGTACAATGTGTGAAGCCCATTTCTGGTGTCCCCGCCGTGATATTGCTGGAATATTGCTAAA